ATTGTCCACAATTCAATGATTATATACAAGCCACTTGTAGGTCGTTGAATTGGTTTCATATATTTCTAACCCTATAGCATTTATTATTTGTTGTTATAAAATGCTTTTTATTATAGTAATCACAAATATATAAAAAGTTAGAAGTAAAAGTTGCCCATTACTCCACCATCCAGAGACAACTACTGTCATTATTATTAGATATTATACTTTCAACATAAATGTGATTATAGTATATCCTCTTAGACATCACTTTTCTATGTTAGTAGCCTCGAATATCATTTTATAGAGCTGCATATTACATATGGAGGTATTTTAAGCTACTTAATCAGGCCACCTGGATTTCCACTGTTTCGCTGTCTTGAACAATGACAGGGTGTATCCATGTGTTACTATTTTCTTTGGCTTCCTTCTTGGAAATGGAATCCCTTCTGTCAAGGTGGACTGACAATTATAAGGCTCTTAATGCACATGGCTTACTTTCCAGGGTACTGGCACCAATACGAGGAGATGCCTTATAGACCTTTGTTGTCTTGAGCATTCTGCTTAATGTTGTTGTCGCTCATGAATAGCCTTCTGTAAAAGGAGGGTCAAGGTCAAGTCCTATGTTAGCTTGCATGTCTCTGTTTATATGTACAGTACAATCGAGAGAGAGAAGAATAAAATGATTTTGTCAAAGGTATAGAAAATTGAGAATATGAATTTGAAAGATGCAAATAAAGGAAGCTGGGTACTTAGCACTGCATATAGGGGGTTTGTAAGATGTGGTCTCATTTAAGAGACAACGAAATGGTATAAAATGACAGGGGATGGTAGGGGATGTTGCAAAATACTTGAAGAAGAATGTAGGACTTTATTTTTTAAATTAAAGTCATCAGCTATAAATATTTTAATTGACTTAAAAGTACTAAGGGAACAGTGCTTCTTAGACTCCCCTAATATGTTCGACTATTAAAATATTTTTGATAGATGTCTTAGACCATCAAAATATTGTATCCTGTCGTGCACAGAAACCTTTCTTTGTAAAGATACTTATGCATATTGATGACCATCTTTCAGTTATTCGGTATGAAATTCAAAGGCATCCATTTGAGCCTATTCATATTTAGTAGAATTGAATTTTTCATCTGTGTATATGTAGAGAATGGGGGGATTAGGCTTAACTATTTGGAAGAAAACTAATATATTTGGTCTCAAGAAACTGGTGGTGAAAATATTTCTAGATGAAAAAGATTTTTAAAATAATAATGAGTGTTCATTTATTTTAAGCTTCAAGGGGGGGGGAAACCCTAAAATTGTAACAGATTGACTAGAAGACAGAGTTTAAATGTATTACTCAGGGTTTCACTCAGCCACACTGCCTCTCAGTTCCTGAGCCGTGTCTAATGAGGAACAATGAGGACTTAATTCTGATTTTTCAGAGGTTTGTTTGGAGATACCAAGACACTGACTGGAAATGCCAGTACTGTTCACCACACACGAACAATGAGTTTTACAATAAATACCTACTACAAATTGTGCCTTAAGAAGAAACTCTCTTTTCATCAAGAAGAAACATTAAATCCCTTTTCTTTGCTTCTTGATGATGATAGAGAGAAAGCTAGAAATAATACCTCATGGACTATCATCCATCAGGAAAAAGCAATTAGACATGTGTCATGCATGACTAGGAGATATGTATGTAGTTGACTACATACTCATATTGATAATATGAGTTTTTGATATTATTGATAATAACTCATAATACATACTCATATTGATACCCCGAAAGTTACTCATTCCCATTTTAAACAAAGGTCCATAATATATTACTTCAGCTCCATTCATTTTTATGGCTAAGAAATAACATTGCTATGATGTTAAATTTGTGATAGAAGGGATTTTTAAAAGCTCTAATATAATGGTGCATTACCAGTAATTTGTAGTTCAATCACAGACAGTACTTCAGTTGTATACTTTAGTTTGCCTGAGTTTAACTGCAAATTGCCCTTTAGTTCTAGAGTAATAGATAATTCCTGATAAAATCAACCTGGAACAATCTTATTAGCCTCCCCCCTGCCCCGTTTTACACAAACTTCAAGTGGTTATTTTGTAATCACTTAAAATGGTTTTGGAAAATCATGAAGGAACTAATAATTTCGACTATTAGTTTCTAAAATCTGAAAAAAAAATTTAAACAAGATATTTTTGAAAAGCTATTGTGGAGAATGCACTTTGCATAATATGTATCAGAATAAGAAATACTTTTGCTCTGAATCACATTTACATTATTGATTAGAACAAGCTCCTTTGACTATTCTTTTCTTATGAGATAGATGTATTTTTCCTAAATAAGTTCTGCTATGAAAACCAAATAAGCCAGCACTATGAGGAAATGTAAATGAAATTTCAAAAATAATATTTGAACAGCTCTTGTAGCTATAACACTTTAAACTGAGAAGTTCCAAAACTAAAAAAAAAACTGAGATTCTCATTCCCACTTCTTTTCCCAAAATGTCCTCAAATTTTAAAGACTTTTTTAAAGTAACATGATCCTTTTTTGTCAACTTGAACCAAAACATAAATTTGATTTTTAAAGATCTTCCTCATGTTCTAAATTTGAATTTATGATTCTGCTAACCAAACTCTCTCTTGTCATTTTATAATTTAAAAATTTATGACTGCATATCTTATTCAGTGACTCTTTGATCTGTCCCTAAAATACAGTGATTCATAAACAGCTCTATTAAATTTTCATTTGTTCATACATTGGTTAATTTATTTATTCAACCAAATGCTTCCCATATTCCAGGCACCGTTCTAGGCACTAAGAATTAAGTCTTTAAAAAGCAAGGTCTCTACCAACAGGGAGCTCGTGTTCTTGCCCTGGTTAGTATGCTGAAATCTCAAAGCAGTTTTCTTCTTAAAGAAGTTAGCCTAAAGCAAATTCACCTTCTGCTCGTGAATCAAAAAGTTCACATTTCCAGACCACTTTATATCTAAATGAACAGTTACAGACTATTAGCAACAAATACAAGAAATAGATCTGTAAACTTAGCAGCAAGCAAAGCATTTTATCTACTAGAATTCACCAGACTATGGAGTTTAAGTACATTCAGAGAGACTTACTTAGCATTGACACAATCAGCATTTGTATCTAAGTTAATATCCCAATTTCACTTGCTACATTAAAAAAAGAAAAAAAAAAGGTAACATCTAAGTATTGGCTGAAAACATTAGGAGGTTTTAAAAAAATTCTTGGAGAATTGTTATTATTCATAGTGGCCTGCCCATATTCACACTAACATTATAAGACTATCCAGTGGAATAAGAAGTGTGCTGTAAGCGTGCGACACACGAGACACGTTTAATTTCTCCACTGGAAATGGCCTTTTCACTGTAAAGTGCAAGTTTACTTTGTTCCCTTAGTGTTCTGATTTTCAAATGCCATATTTGCACTTGCAGATTGTTTGTTGTATCATATTTTACATTTTAATTTTGGTGGAAAACATCTCCATTGATCTTTCGGATGATGTCATGCAGGGTTTTTGTTCTTCCTTGTGAGGCTGGAGGGGCTCTGGCCTGCTGTGTGCTGTGGAAGCAGAGAGACTGAATCACATCTCTGCAAGGATGTGAATAGGCTGTTTGATGCCTGTGGCTTGCTGGGAAAATCTATAAACTTGGGAGTCAAAAGGATCACTGAGGGATGGTTTCTTTATCTGTAAAAGAGGCATGAAATATTTGTTCCTCCTACATCAGAGTTTTAGTGTAAGGATTGAGTATGACAATGATACCATTTTGCAAAAATCATACACAGTTCTGGAAGCCATAACTGGTATTATTCCAATTTTCTGTTAGTGTCTGCTCACCAGTATCAGTATAATCTGTGTACATGTATTTGAGTAAAGGATGCATCTCGTCAAGATTTGAACTATACACTTAAATGACTCCTTTGTTTTCAACGTGCCGTTTGCTTATTTGGGAGCTAGAAGGAAATTATGAGATTCCCTTAATTACTGGTCACCCATGTTAAACAACAGACACTGAGAAGTGGCTTTCCAATAACAGAATTCATAATAAACCCAGTAGAGATAGAAAACCCACTGGGCTTCAGATGTAATACATTAGACATGACAGAGATGCTTTAATGAGAGTCATCAATTACAACTTCTTCTAAACCCGGGACAAACATTTTAGCACTTCCTCTGGGGGTGAACCCATGCCCGAGCCATTCATTGAGTTCTGTGGCATGCAGTGACGAGTGTGGGAAATTAACAAGAACGTGGAGCCCTTTCCAGTAATAATACAAAATGATTAAGAGGACCTGAAAAATCAATTGACTAATCAATAGTGTGTAACTGCTTGGAGCATTTCCCCCATGCTAATCAGCCATTAAGTTGTTTAAACTAAATATGTCCCGTTTCCCCAATTACTGAACTGATTTACAAGACATGGTCAAGGATGTCAGAGTCTACAGGAGCCAGATTCCAGAGCATTTGTCATTGAGAAAGACGGAAAGAATTTATAGATGATCCTCTCTTGCTATGGATTCTGATGGCTCTTGAGTGGGACGATATAACAGGAGCTGTCCCCCTAGTCTGCAGACGTTGGTGAATTAATATGGCCTGCCCAAGTTCTAAACATGTGCATTTGTTTGGCAATGTGGCTGTGACCTTGATTGAATTCAGGAGCAGTGGAGGTCAAAATAATGAAAGAAAACATCTATACACTATATATGTTCAGGTCTTTAAAATGTTTTTTTAACTTCAGCCATGGTGAGAAGCATTCAGCAAACAAGACTCCGAATTCCAGACAACAAAAGGTATTCTAACAAGACCTGGGAAGTGACATATTATTACCTATCCGTAAAATGCCGGCAATTCTAGTGTCAAAACCATGCGTAACTTCTTTTTTTTTTTTTTTTATTTAAGTTGAATGCCACTGTGGGGGAAAAACAGCACTAAGAAAATAACTTTAAACAGGGGGGAAAACTTTTTTATTGATATGTTTTACTTTGCTGGCAGACCAGAGCAAAGGTTTTGTGAACATTTAAAAGATGAAAAAGGTGAAGAATCCCAGAAGCGGTTTATCTTGAAGCGAGATAACTCTAGTATTGATAAAGAAGACAATCAGGTTGGTTCTCAAGTTTGAGAGTGGCTGACGTTGTTGTTTTTGAAGGTGGGCTGACTTATGTTCTTGTCGTTCTGTTCTCCCCTTCTCCCGCCCCCAGCTCCCCCCACCCTGCCTCCAATACTGACTGTCCTCTTACCAACCTCCTTGCCCCCTCGCCTCCCCCTCTGGCATTCAGTGGGTAGCCAAGAGAACATGTCCTGATTGCTTCAGCAATGGCTCTGTGTTGGGCTGCATGGGTGGTGCTTGGCGCAGTTCCTGCTGCATGTGTTGGGCGGGTTGGGATGCCACCAGCCGGAGCTGTCGGGGAAAGCTTTGTCATCACATTTCCAGATGTCTGTGTAACTGTGGCAGTCCTTCCACTCCTACAGCTTTGTCCTTCAGTTGTGCACAAATTGAGCTGGATTCTCAATATGGACCGATGACCAACTGGTGTAGCTGTAAAGAACAAACCTTGTTATGGTGAGGACAGGTGGATTTTGCAACTCTCCTAAAATAAGTCTTCACAGAAAAGAATCAAGTTCATGTTTTAGTCTCCCCACTCCTCCTTCCCATGTTCTACTGTCCATGTAAACCGTGTGCTTGTTTTGCATGAACTGTAGCAGAACTTTCTCCTTTTTGCGTATTTTGCTTGTGACAAAACATTACGTTGTCCTAGAGTAGCCCTATTTATGGTTCCTCAGCAAGGGTGGAGAGACTTTGCTAAACCTCTTCTCCAGACTGGGGGTGGGGGGGGGGGGGATCCTGGGTAATTAGGAAGAAAACTAAGTGAATGGCAAAAGAAAACAAATATTAAACAATAATTAGAACAGTAGGGAGTTATATAATGCCATTACAATTACACTTCGTGTCTCTGACAATCAAAATAGATTTTTTGAAAATAGACTTTGCTTTAGAATTCTTAAAGCTAAGACAATATGCATCTCGCCGAAGTTATTATTTTAATGGCTCTCAGTGAGTCACTGGAAGCCAGTACGTGCATCTCTGACGCACTTTTTTTTAAAAAACCTGTTTGTCATTTGTATCTCATTTCTTCCTATCCCCACCACTACCACCATCAAGCAACAGGTAGCTCCCGTTGACTCCAAGCCACATGCCTGTGTCGTGTACTTAGTGGGCGTTTGTTGAATGGATGGATGAACGTGGTTAATGCAGAGCATTCTGTGAGGAATGGCAAGAAGACAATGGGAGGGTTGTTGAGATGCAGGCAGCGGTGCAGATGCAAGGCTGAAGAACAGTCCTCATGCTGGGTTCTTTGGATTGTTACTTTAGATTCCTTGGCATTGACCTCAATCAACAGGCTTTTCAAATTCAGCTTCTACCTTCTATGCAAAAATGCAGGGCACAGGATCAGTCAGTCACTGAGTAAAGAAGAAACACAAATTAGGACGTGGAGACATCAAGTCCAGTTTCCTTTCTGCCCATTACTTGCTCGGTTCCCTTGTTCTGTGTCTCTAGTGCCCCGGTTTTCAGAGCCACTTCTTCCCTTAGCCGCCTTGAACTAGCCACTTCCTCAGCATTCCACCTTTGTCTAAGGACTCCAAAGCATACAGCCTAGCAAAGGAGACAGAGTCCCTCCCTGTGACCCACGTCATAGCTGAGCTGGCTGAACACCTGACACATGTCCAGGTGCTTTCGTTCTGGAAACAGCTGTACTCCCTGCATCCAGTGGGGAGACCAGCAGGAGCAGTAGACACCTGCCACTGCGTGTCATGCACACACACGGCACACCACACATGCCGGCACTGCCTCCTTAGGGACCAGAGGGAATGAGACTCTTCATGCTCCATTTATTTAAGTGAACATTTATTATTCTCGGCTGACAGTTGCTTAACTGCAGATTTCCAGCAGCTCAACTTGGATAACCGTACTGATTTCTTTTTTCTGTTCAGCAAAACAGAATGCATCCCTTTAGAGATGACAGACGAAGTAAATCAATTGAAGAGAGAGAAGAGGAATATCAGAGAGTGAGGGAGAGAATATTTGCACACGATGTGAGTAGTTGTTTTAATTGCCTCTTTAGTGCGGTCCTTCCCCAGACAGCCAGCTGGTAGGACTCAGGAGGCTGGAGCCAGGGATAAATCCAACAGCAGCTCACCAGAGGTGTTTCTGGAAGAGGACCTGGTTCAGGGAAGTGACGGAAAAGTAGCCAAGGGTTGTGTGTTCCTAGGATGTGACCTAAGGGGGAATAGAGGCGTGATTTTGGTCACTAAAACAGACCCAGTGAGGTTGTCAGATTTGAAAAAAAATGCCTTCACATTCATATTAGCCCGCAGACAGCCAAGTGTTGTCCTTCTAACACTAACGTGGAGCAGAAGAAAGACATATAAAAAAGAAAGAGAATCTGTTAATCACATACATAAACACAGAGTTTTCTGCTTTCTTAGCAAGCAGAGGCATTTTATTATATCGAAGTTAAATGATAATACTCATCTTCCCCCTCAGTTTCACATCAGATTAGGTCTGTGAGCAGTTTGTCACAAGACAATAATCATAAAATGATTTCTTTTGTTCAAATCCCAGCAAAGAAAATGTGGTGGGGGATTTTTCTATCCTTTTACCCACTGTGTCCAAAATAAAATGCGATTAAACTAAATAAAAATGAAAAAATGATTTAAAACAGCTGGATTTAAATGCAAGAAAGCTAAAAGGGCAAGCGAGGGCCATAGCTTTTCCACGCCATGGAATCATGTGGCAGCCTCTGAAGATGTGGGCTCTTCCCTTTGTAACCATAGAGGTGGCAGCTCCTTGGTGCAGACCTTCTGTGGCTTGGCTGGGTTAGGTGGGCCATCCTACCTCCCGTTGGGATTTGCTCTGGAGGCCATTACCGAGCCAGACTAGAGACCTAGGCTCCACCGCTTAGCATGGAGGAGGACTTCTGACCTTGGAGGTTTCAGGCCTGAGCCAGTTTCCCAGGTCCTCCAGCTCGTGCTGGATCCCTCAGCATGAAGCTGCACTGGAAATTCAAATTCCACCAACAATGCGTTTCTTTCATGTTGACACAGGTTTCTGTGATCTCTTCTAGATCCTCACTGCCTTTCTTGGATACAATAAAATAGAACTTTAATGATTGAATAATCTGGCTCAGAGCTCTGGAGTTAGCAGAGTCTGAGAGAGGTAGCTGTAGAAGGATACTGCCCACGTGCAATTCTAGAAGATTCTGCATATGCGTGGGCTACTTAGACTTTTCTTATGATTAGAGTTATTGGTGGTGCAAAGGATAGCCTGACACATGGTAGGCTTTTAATTGTGTTTCCTGGATAAAAGGACAAAGTAAGGAGAGGCTCTGTTGTACTCATGGTAGCGTAGGGGTGGCCCAAGTGGACTGGGAGGCAGTGTTTCTGTCTGATGAGCTTCATGGAGAGAAAGTTTTCTGAAGGCCAGTGTATTTTTTATGCTTTCTCTTTCTTTCTCTCTCCCCATCCTTCCCTCCCCCTGCCTTACACACACACACACACACACACACACACACACACACACACAATTTCCCTCTGATTCTCATTCTGGCAAGTCATAAAATTTATAAATGAGTTGTGTTGAAAAGCAAATATTAATCACCCAGATAAATATACAAACATTATGCTTTTTTTTTTTCAAAGCTGCGCCACATTGCCAGACTCTCAAGGGCTAGGCAGCTGGAAAAGCATCCTTGATGCTTGTCTATGAGGAGGATGCTTCCTGTGCTGCTGCCCTTCATGTGTGTATCCCCATGTCGACAGAGATGTCATCACGGGCAAGGAGGGTCAGCATGACTCACTGTACACATTGCATTTCCCAACAGCCCTACTAAGGAGATCAACAGCAAGGAACCTGGGCCCCAGGTTAAAGATCTGAGGCAAGCATTGCTATTTCACGCCTCAAGAGCTAACTGCTGAATTAACATTTTTTAAAACAGTGAAAGCAGATTGGGGGCACCTGGGTGGCTCAGTTGGTTGAGCATTCGATTCTTGACTTCAGCTCAGGTCTTGAGCTCAGGGTCATGAGTTTGAGCCCTTAATTGGGTTCCATGCTGGGTGTGGAGCTTACTTGAGAAAAAAAAAGAGAAGTAAAAGCAGACTGAAGTGTAGGAAAGCTTAAACGCCAAGCTATTGCCATGGCCTTCCCAATCCATGGCATCATTTGGCAACCTTCTTCGAAATACTGTGGCTTCTTCCCCCTGCAGGAGTAGAGTAGAGGTGTGAGCTGGGTGAAAGGCTCTCTGGTGGCCAACACTCCCGGGGTTATTAATTCAACTGGGGCACCTGCCTGTTTCTAGCACTACTTTTCCACCTGATCTTCTCCTGGGGCTGGGGTTTTTTAATTGGCATCCTGCACCCAGAGTATACTCCTAGTAAGGCTTCAGAGATTAAATAAAATCCCTGACATCATCTGCAAAATATTATGTCCATGAGTATAGGTACATTTTTCTAAGGAAGAGATCTTGATTGTTTATCATAGTTTTACAAGTTTTCATCACCCTTACAAGACTAAGAGCCACTTTCCCAGAGGGGGGAAAAAAAAAGATGCTCAGTGCTTTCTCCCTAGTCCTGCAGCTCTGTAGAAACAATGCTGTCATAAGGTTGGTGTTCCCTGTGTTTCACTATTAATTGCTATTAATTATCCCCAAACTTGACAGCTTAAAACAAACACACAAAATGCTTTTTGCCTCACAGTTTCTGGGGATCAGGAATCAGAGGGTGGCTTAGCTGGCCAGTTCTGGCTCATAGTCTTTCATGAGGTTACAGTCAAGCCATCAGCTGGGGCTGCAGTCTTCTGAAGGCTTGATGGAGTCGTTGTCTGCTTCCAAATTCACCTGCATGGTTTTTGGCAGGCCTCAGTTCCTAGTGGGCTATTGGAGATCTCAGTTCCCACTATGCGGGCCTCTCCAAAGGCTAGTGAGCATCTTTATGACCTGGCAACTGGCTTCCCCAGAGCAAATGATCCAAGAGAGAAATAAAGAAAGCCCAAGATGGAAGCTACAGGCTTTTATAACCTAATCTTGGAGCTGACATACCTTCCCTTCTGCTGTATTTGGTTGGACACACAGACCAAACTGGTACAATGTGGAGGTACTAGAAAAAAATCTTGATTGTGAATACCAAGAAGAAGGGATCATTGGGGGCCACCAGGTGTTAACAGGATATTACTGTATCTTTTATTAATGCAAACACAGGGACATAACATAGCAATATGAACTTCCTTGAATACCTATAGTAACACATCTTCCTTTCCACTTACATAGAGAGAGAACACTTTAGGGAGTCTTCATCTGTATGATTCCAGATTCCCAAATGACCATTACTACTTCTCAGATTGTCGAGGGACACAAGGTAATAAGTCAAGTATAGTAAGCCAATTATAAAAGCGATGCAAAGAATCCAGCATAAGGAAACTAAATTACAGGCATCTCCTGTCTTTCTTAGCTGGCCTTTAATTTAGTGTCTTCATGATTTAAAAACTGAGGTAATAAAAGCAGCTTCAATTACCAATTATGATATAAGTAGTGGAGCCATTCAAACAGGTTCAAATAGTGACATATTTACGTAGAGGGTTTTTTGGGTTTTTTTTGTTTGTTTGTTTTTTCCTACTCGAAGTTACAATAGTTATAGAGAACTACTTCCTGGTATTTACACTTTAGCAAAATCAAAATTTAACGTTAGTAGCGTTCTTGAATATTTTACAAATGTATCTTGGTGTCTAAGGTGTGTGTGTTTGTGTGTGTGCGCGTGCATGTGTGCTTTTTTATTTAGGTCCACAATAAAAATATTCAGATTATTTGGGGATTTGCTAGAAAAATAATTTCAATATAGTTTGAGAATTTGGGTAGCCTGAGATAAGGCACATTTATTATTTGAGAATGAAGTTGTTGTAAGTCAAGGCACACAACAATTTAGTTCTCAAATAAAAAATGAGTGTATTTTTGTAGTCAGAAATATTTGAAATATAACTCTTATTTCCTTTAGCAAGAATTTCAGCTTATTTTATGATTAATTCAATGCAATGTTGCTGGCTTTGGTAAGTTACATTGCTAAAGCAATATATTTGAGAAAGACATGTTTTGCCTGGAGGATGGTTTCTGAGAGATATTTATGTGTAAATAGGGATTCTAGGAGGGGCTCATCTGCAGTCTCCCCAACATGCACTGGGATCTCTCTTCCGTGACAACCGTTGAGAAGGGCATGTGATGCCACCTGGATTGGGAGTGGGGTGTGGGAGAGAATTCTGTAACCCATTAGGCAAAACTATTTTCTACTTAAAAGAAAGAAAAAAAAGAGCTCTTTATATCTGAGAATGCAAATAAGTGACAGCTTTGAATGCTGCACTTAATTACTGTGACACTTTTATCTTTCTCTGCTATTAAAATTCGTAAGTTATATTAATAACTTTTTTAAAGTTTATTTTCATCAGCTACTGAATCACAGCCCATAACCATATCTGCCTTATTTATGAAACTGTGTTGGAAGATCATGCAATAAATCTTTAGAACCTTTGCACAAAAATTGAAAAATACTCTTGAGATACGTTTTTGGGAAAGTTATCTTCAACTTGCAGGTGCCTTATTTTTTCATTCAAAGAGTTATGGCAGCTTAACTTCCCTCAAAATACCATTGGATTAATGAGTCTGAAGAGGTCAGTATGTCTTTGATCAACTCTTTCAAAGAAGTAGTAAAGTTTCAACAATTCCATTATCCAGCCAGAACATTATAAACATAATTGACCTCTTTCCAACTACAAGAGCTGAGTAGTAGTGAAGTCTTGAGTTCATAATGTATACCTGAGACAGTTAATTCCATGACTTGACTGAAAGTGGGAGTAAAACCAAACTAAAGGAAATGAAGATAGTGGGATATTTCACTTACTATAAAGAGATCTCCACAGGAATAATATCAGTGGTCCATAAATTGTATTTGTTTATAAATACAAATGTCAAATTAAAAAAAAACTTAAAAAAAGATATTTTCTGAAAAGCTTTTTTCTTAATCTTTTTTTTTTTTTTGCTTTTTGTTAAATAAGATTTTTGTGCACTTGATACTCAGGATGCATGTTAAATTCACAAAGGTTAAATTACAAATGGTTCTAGAGATGCCCTCACTGAAATGTTCAGACCACTGAGGAAAACACGTTGTGCCCAAAGCTAGCCCTTTGGTTTAGTGGAAGGAAATGATTTCTCCAACAAAATGTACAGAGAAACCAATATCCTGCTTGCCTCTCTGAGTAGTGGTTACATTAGCTAATCTTTTAAAAATTCAATATTGAAAGGTCCTTATTTACTTTAGTTTTTTTTTCTCTTAAAATGGACCTGTTAAGTCTCATTTTACCCATATAGAGGTCATTTATTCATCATTTAGAAAATCTGCACGTATAATATGGCATATATATTTATGGTTAGAAACTCAGTACTTTGAAAATGTTTTTTTGTTAATTCCTAAACACAGTCACTATGTTATAGGGCCATTGCACCATATTTGGTTTAGACTTCTCTTTTTCTGCTTGTTAAAATTCAATTTGATTTGCCTTTCCCCAGCTTGTAATGGTAATGGAATTTTCTCTTCCCCATGTGTATTAAACACAAGATAGTGGAGAAGTGATAGCTAGGGGAATGGAAGCTAAGAAGAAACTCATTGTTTTTCTGTGTGAAAAACAGAACAAAACAAAATATTAGATGGACTTGACCTTTTTTTTCCTAATTAGCTCCATTTTGTTCTCACATGTCTTCTGCGCCCCCCCCCTGCAAATTGATTGATGTCATCTCTTCAATTTTGAGAGTCTTGCAGTCAGTCTGTTTATTTCAAGAGAGTCTATCATTGCCAGGTCATAACTGCAGGATTGTGGTTCTATGGCTCTCCTATCCTCAGGTGGATCGTGCTAAGTGCACATGCCCTGCCTTGATTTGAACCAGTCCTTTGGCTCTTGTTGGGGGCTGCATCTCCATAGCCCAGAAGAAACTGCTAGCTCAGGATCCGATGGACACATGGTTCTCTGATTCTCGAACAGTTTCATTCACATCTCTCTTCTCCTGACCTTGATGCTAAACGGGCTAAATCTATCCGTGACCTGGAGATGCTGTGATGGAAAAGTACTTGTATGCTGAAAGAGAAAGAGAATGGTTTACACTTCTAACTCTAACCATTTTTTTCCTTTTTTATTTCCACTTCTTCAAAACATAGTACATATTTTTCTTAATTCTTTTCCTCTTGGAGGGGAAAAGTAGTTTTAAAAGCAGGCAAGGATTTGGGATCCCTCAGCACATCCAGAACGTCTGATACAATGCCCTTTTTTTTTATTTTTCAGTCAGTTTGCTCCCAGGACAGCCTTTTTGTGGAAAACAGGTAAAATGAAATATGCTTTTTCATGTCTTTAGAGGAACAAAGTCTGTCATGTGTGTCCTGTATTTTCATAGATATATATCCCATATATAAGTGTGTGCTTGAATATATGTATAAGTAAATACATATATCTATTCATACATACTTACATGCACACACATGTATGTTATTTAGCATGCCTAAAAACTATTTAATTTGGGGAAATACTTTTCTCTTACTTCCAGACATAGTTTGTACATTTTCCTTATGTAAAGTCTTGACTTCTGGTCCTTCCAGAGGTCTAATTCCTGTTACCTTTACCAGGCATTACAAAGCATAAATGAACTTGCAATTTCATTGGCTTATGGACGAGACTGTTCACTGTATTTGTATATTGGGTATCATTAGCCACTTCCTGTGCCCCATAATTATATATAGCTATACAAACAATGATTGGAATAATATTGTTTTAAGTTTCTCACTCTAAACAACCTATTAATCTAACTTGGAAATCTATCTAATCTAATCTAAATTTACTAACTCGGGAGTTAGCAGGGAGGTGGTTGTTGTGAGATGAATGGGTTACACAACTTACACAAAGTTTTGAGTATATGAGCCAAAGGTTTTCAAATTTAACATATACTTTTAAGAAATAGTTCTAAACTGACATAGATATTCAAATGCTCCATTGATTTAATTGCAGCTTTTCCAAGGGGAATTAAAGAATTCCACACTAACTGTATTAATCACATTTAAGGTGCAGCAGAGTGGGCAAGGTGGAATGGAAATATGGTATCCCTTCAGAAAGTGGTGCTTAACTTTATTTCAGGGGTTGGTTTAATGGGTGTCCCTGTAAAACTGATTAAAATGGAGGCTATTTGATTAAATTCTAGTACTTAGAGAAAATTTAAACTTGGCATTAGAGATGCTTGGGGGAAAAAAGCTATCTTTAATATTAGCAGTTAGAAATCTTTGAGTAGCTAACCCCCTCATTGAACAGCCTCTTCTAGAAGAATAGATGAAAGTAGAAAACATGTCTAAAGAAGGCATTCAAAAGCAACTTCAAAAATCCATACAGATTTAAGTGAATATTCCTTATTTACAGTTAATTAAGAATCCATGAGCACTAACATCTTAGGGATGATGATGAAGCATTCCAAAATTCTATAGTCTAACTAAAATGATGAAGTGAGTGTATATAATTCAGTTTGGTGGGAAACCTTATTCCCTAGTCATCCAGCCAGTCATTTTCCCTGCTTTATGCCCAAATTTTATTCATTTACTTGGATTTTGCATAAAAAGACTGCTAATGCACTTTAAGTGTCCCTTAGATTCAAACTGAATTATATTCATCATTACAATAATTGATCACATACATGCATTGCATATATGAACAAGTCTTGATATTTCCAAAAAGCAAAAATTTAATTGAGTAGATTCCCTACAAAAATAAATACATTTCTTGTATACCTGTCTTTGGAATGTCAGTATTTAATTCTCTGCACCCCCCCAAAAAAGATAACTTTAATATTACCCAAAGGAAAAAAAATCACAATGAGTATATTTAATTAAATATCTATTAAACATCAATTTCTTTTATTTTCCCCTCTCCCATTCATTCTATTTCTTCTTCCTTTCCTTTTTATCTAGTATTGGCACCTCAATCCTAGGATAGGAGAAAAATCATGCTGTCATTAATTTATTATTGCAAAATTCAATATCATGCACATAAAACATAGTCCACGGGGTTGATTTGCAAGAGCAGTACTGTTACAAAAGAGTACACATCTATTTAGCATAGGGCATTTAGAGTCATTAGGTTTTATATCATAAAAACCATGTTTTTCATTTCCAGTAGGCTCTTGGAAGACAGTAACATATGCAATGAGACCTATAAGAAAAGACAGCTCTTTCGGTTGGTATGGTTTACTTTTTTAAAACTGTGTTTTCAGATTATGTGGCAGAATCAATGTTAAATATAAGTGTATTAGTGTAAAATATCTGTTCATAAAATAAATATGTTTGGTTATATCTTTGTAAAGCTTGTTACAGAGCTGGTACTGAAGCCATACTGGATAATGTGAGATATGGGACCAGGAAATTACTGCTTGGTATATAATCCTTTCAGTTTCTTCCTCTGATTTTCCGTTTTTGGTGGGTTTTTTGTTTTTGTTTTTGTTTTCCCCTCAAAGGTTAACTTTGGCAGTACACTGATTTAAGATTCAACTTTGGTGAATTACACCAAGTTAAAATTTCTCTGATAGTTTGCAATTACATATACATGCCTGATACTGGAAAAAAACACCAATGATAACTCCATTTGAGTAGTTGATTTTTAGCCACTACTATCCATCATAATATTTCAAATATGTTTTTCAAGCAAAGATTTTATTTCTAAGGGAAGGTACAGGATTGCTTCCAATTATAATGAATTACTTAAATCAAGATCTGTGTAAGATAAAGAGAATGGATGTATATGTATTTATTATATATTAATATTGTATATTTTAAGTTATATACTAGGCCGGAAGCTCCATGAAAGCAGAGGGACCATACCCATGTTGTCACTACCCTATTAAATATACCTCTAATATTATTATAGGGCAAAAGGGATATACAGCATTATCAATGTACTCGGTATGTAATGCATATATTTAATATGTTACTGCTCTGATGAATATTAGGATTCATCTCTGTTGTAGGAGAGAGAAAACGTATTCATTTACAAATAAAACCTCTTGCCCACTTAGAAGGAAGAAAAGACTAAGGAAAAAAATAAATGGATTGTGTGCTCAGAAAGTATTTTTTTGTAGTAAATGTGAATTTAGGACCTCATCATTAGAAAAGTTGGATTAATTTGTTCCCTTTACACTTGGCAGAAATAAAAAGATTTTTAAAAAAATGTCCTTCACTTTTCTAGGTTGAACTACATAGTCTAATGCCTTTATTGGTAGACCATTTATTATCACATTTGTAGATTAAAATGATAACTCTGCATTGTTCCTTTGAAAACCCAGAGAAGAACAAGAATTTATCAGTACTCCTGTACTCACACCAGATCTGGTCTGCTTAGGCCGATAAATATATGAAATATGGGTTGTTGCCCCTCTAGGCCAATTGGTTTCACATAGCTCCAAATTTGGTCCCTAGCCAGAGTTACCATCTACTCAGATCAGTCATTACAAATATGAGTGCCATCACCCACCAAGTCACCAAGCACAGAGACTCAGGAAGATGACTTAGCACAAAGACATCCACACAATAGTAAAAGCAACTCAAAGTGTACATCATATCTAACTTGATAAAAAAAAAATACCATGTACAGACATGAAGGAAAATAAATGTTAGTTATATTAATCAGCACAGAAACAGAACTTCAAGTATGTGCTTTATGACTACTCTGGGATCAAATTCTCATTGCATGCACAAGGACCAACTCCTCTTGATGACCAGACACCTCATTACCATTGTCTTCCTGGTTTCTGGTAGGAAGGGACCAAGACTGGGCTTAGGAGGGATAGGAAGGCATTTGTGGTTATGTTCATCTATGAGGTCTATGATTCTACATACAAATAGATATGAAATTCAATTCTGGACCTCACTTTGCCAGTGCTAAGGTGAATAATCAGTAGATAGAGCTATAAAATACTGTTTCAGTGTATAAATAGAGATCCATAAATCAGAATTAGATGCATTATTATGAATCTCATTAATGCTAACTCTAAAGCAGCAACTTAAATTCCCTCTTTTGGGAATTTTGAGAGCTCTTGACTTTGGGAGGCTGATTTGAACGGGTGGAGAGTAGAGGTAGAAGAAGTCAAGGAAATCTTAGGTTGCCTTATCGGCCAAGGGTGTGGCACAAGTCTAAAGGAGTTACCCATCGCCAGAGTGAAGCCTGCAAACTCCAGCACACTAGTTTGCACCCAGAAATAGTGGTGGAAACTGCTTTGCAGACAGGTCAGCCACACTGGCATTTCCTCCCATGGAGGTGCAGGGGGCATAGGGAGAGGGAAACTCAAGCAGAGTTCATGATGATCACCTGCATAGGGAGAGCTTCCTTCTGAGGCATCTTGTATGCTGAGGCTAAGGACTACCCCAAATCTTTTCCTATATGCAATATTCCCCATTAGCTCCAAGTGAGACTATTATCACATCCCTGGGGCATTCACAGTGGCTAAATAATGATTTTGCCAAGCTTTGTCAAAGACGGGTCAAATAAATCAGAATTAAATGTGAAAAGAGTAAAGGTGAATTTGGTACTTGAAAGGAAAACAATCAGGAATCGAACACCATACCCTCGAAGAGGATGGGTTTTTTCCCTCTACCCCCACCTCCTCTGGTTTTCTTGAATTTCAAAGGAGTTTTAAGAACTCAAGCCATCTGACCATTGGTGAGTGTGTGATACTTTCTACTCAAAATCTGGTCTTTTTTTAGTTCCTCCTTCCAAATCCAGCCATCCTGAGGTGCTAACAGAGAGACTATAAGAAAACATTGATGCAGGACAGCAGGGCACTGAGTGCTTGTTGTTTTGTGAGTTTTCTGTCCTCCCCTCATTTTACAAAGTTCCTATCACAGATGAGCCATTTCATTTTTATTATTTCTTGGATCCATTTACCTTCTTAAGTTCTCATAAAACAAAAGAAAAGTTTATTAGGTAAAGTTGAAACAAAAGCAAAAATTTTCTGTGTACCTTCTGTACAATTTTGTTGGTGAGTGTTTTGATCAGATGCACACACTCCTAACATCTCCGCGGTCTATTTTTGTCTTTAGAAGACTATCTATTAACAAAACTAATGACCACATCTGTGAGATCTGGATCAACACTTGAGCATGTCACATTGTTTAGTGATAATGAAATTACGGGTTCTATCTCTTGCCAATGATTTATGCCCCCTTTACTTACTTACAATCCATGAAAATCTTAGAGTATTTTAATCATGTCTTATTTCCAACTGCAGGAAAAGCTTTGAAAATATTCACTAAGTTCCTCTTTAAGTAGATTGGAAACCAATGAAAATGCAAATTTCATCAACTTGCTCTATAAAACACACGTAATTTTGTGTTCTACTTAGAGATATTCTGGAGTCTTCAGAAAGCATGTCTGCCTATTGGATCTCTTCCCGTACATTCACTCTTTCTCAATTTGGATTTTGAACCAGTGTGTTCTTTCACCTATGGAGCTTTGTTATTTCCATTGATCCCCTTGGAAAGTTTCCTGTCAGTGTAGTGTTTATACTGGTGTTGTTATTATCACAAGTTTTTCTCTGTGAAAAGGATTAAAAGACACTTTCCTCTGCCCATGAAGGTTAAACTCATCGGGCAAAACTCTCACCCTAGGTCAACAGAGTAATTTCCGTGATTTCTGTGCTGACTGCCAAAGCCTTAATGAATTCAGATAGACATCTCATCAAGTTAGAAAATAATAAATGGCTTCACTGCCTCTGTGTGCATTTTCTCACGGTCCATTATTTAACACTAAAGGGACAGACAAACTTGTCTTCAGTGGGAGTTGCCTTCAGAATCATTCAAGATCATAATTGGTCCCAAACCTTGATTCATTTTTTACTTGGGTCAGGAGAATTTATCCTCCTCTCCTCTCCATAAGAGAAGTTAACAACTATATTTTATACCATGTTTTTTCTACTTGTTTCTCCTTCACTGGCAGAGGGATGGTTTGACATTTCTAGGTTTGGTTTTTCTGTTTGTAAACATGACATTAAATGTGGTATGTTATCTGTCTGCCCATCAACGAGCTATCTGTGGTACAGTTTGTGAGGCAACGGGCTTAATGGAAAGGGTTGCAAGAAGGGTCTTGTGTGAACGGCTCTTCCAAGAAAGGTCCCCCTCTAGATCCATACCTCTCGTGAAATGTAACACTGTCCCTGTACATCTTTCCGATGGCTGTGCTCCAGGGGCAACAGAGATGGTTCAGGGAGAACATCCGGGAGTCGACAGAGCAGCTCGGAGAATGAGCTCAAGTGGTCGGACCACCAGAGGGCCTGGAGCAGCACAGACTCTGACAGTTCCAACCGCAATCTCAAGCCTACCATGACCAAGACGGCAAGTTTCGGGGGCATCACGGTGCTGACCAGGGGTGACAGCACATCCAGTACCAGGAGTACCGGGAAATTGTCCAAAGCAGGTAGTTAGTACTGAATGGGTTTATGTCCTGATGTATTTCCTAGATTCCACCCAACCCATACAGTCATTATCCCCTCTGGCTTCCAGTTAATTAATGATGATGATATTAATTGCTGGGATACCTGGGAAGTCAGAAGGTGCAATGAAAATACCAACCCTGTCTCTTCCTAGCTGTGTGCCTAGGTCAAATTACCAACCTCTCTAATCTTCGGTTTCCTTATCTGTTGTCAACCTAAAATTGTCAGGAGGCAATAATTGACCAAGAGCATTTATTTGGGATCAAAGCATTGCAATTCAGGGTACACAGATATGGGTAACAACCTAAATGGTGTCCCACTTGGGAGCAAAATCAGGGGTTTTTAAAGCAAGAAGGGAATGCTTGTATATGTTGTTTACAAAGAATTTTTGATTGGTGTTGGCGGTACAACTCTGATTTTGATTGAATATAATTGGTTTCAAAGGTTATCCCTAAGCCGCCTCTTACTGTAGCATGTTGTAGGTGTTTGAGCTGAGTCCTTGGTATTTTTGCAGTTTGGCCCGGTTCAAAAGTTCATGGTTCTACAGGTGAGGACGTGTCAAACACCCATCTCCTTAGTGGCCTCCTGACTCCATTTGAAAACCTCTTGACATAAGCGCCCCATGTCATTTCAACTTTCACACTATGAAATGTAGGTTGTAATAGAATATGACGTAACCCCCCCCACCGCCCCAGCAAACTATTGTATGTTAAATTTCAACTATTTATATACAAATGGTTACCAAGGCACCTGCACAAGGTAACTATTTAACAAAAGCTAGCTATTGTTTTTAATTTAATACTATGATCAGTTTCTTAAAACCACACTGTAAGGTAATTATAATATTAATAGTTTTGGCTGCTGTTTTGGCATGCTGTTAGTCTGATTGTGGGCAAGTTATTTAACCGATTTGTGTCTTGGTTTCCTCATCTGAGAAATGGGAATAATTGTATAATTAGGGACCTAATTATACAATAGGGACCTAATAATAATATAGGGACCTATATTGCAAGGTTATTTCAAGACTAAAAGAGTTAATATACACAAAGCAATTAGAATAATACCTGGCAGGTTATAAGCCCTCAATAAACACGAGTTCATGTTTATTTTTATTACAGCCACAGGGAAAGTGAGCCTCAGAAAGGCTTAGAGTTCCAAGTAGCCAGGTGCAGGTATCTCTTTTTTTTAACCTTGTGTTTTTCTTCTAAGTGAATAGTGATCTTTTGAGGTAGGTAGTTCAAGTTTGCATGGACAGTCTTTGGGAGTGAGCACTAATGAGAACCATGACCTGGAAACAACTTTAAACTGATGGAAACTTTAATACCATTAAAGGGGGTTCATATGAGTCCAAAAAATCCCCATCATGGTCTGCCATCTCTAGCTCCTCCGTCTCCAAAATCCCTCACCATTGTTTTCAAATTATTTTCAAATGTTCTCAATCAAAGTATCTCTTAGAATCCCAGGAAGGTAACAGATGACCCTTCAGTAGTTCTCCATGAATTCAGTGTGTGGTGATAATTTGTAATGTTTCTGTTTGGTTTGGGTTTTGCCTCAGAAGTTCGGAGCTAGGGTAGGGGTCGAGAGCTGTGATTCAGTGACACACCCTGGGTGTTGGACACACTGGGGATGCATTCACAGACCTGGGGTTGTAGAGAAGGGACGGGGATGGTGAATGGCCAACACTGACCAGAGATTAGACATGGGTTGTCCTAATTTGAGAATACTTTCCTATTCAAGCTTCACACTCACACTAGGGGGCACTCTTTGTGAAATCTAGGCTTATTATGCTAATGGTTTAAGATAATTATGTTGTTGAAAATGCTCCTAAGAAATTATCTCGTGTTTTCCTACACAGGCAGAAAACTAATAGCATTTAGTCACAGCCACTACTATATATATACATATTTCCTTCTCCTTAGAAAGATTCAGGTGGGCTCACACTGCCTTCTGCCCTCTGTCGTATCACCAATTGGTGAATTCTTGATGTCTTACTCTAATTAATTGCTCTTATATCCCACTATTGCAGCAACTGAAGTCAAGAAAACCCACTGTGGTACACTTGAGCTCTTGTAAACTAAGAAAGGTTAAATAGCTTTAAATCTCCTTAAAATGCAGAAACTAAGGACCTTAAATGGTACACTTAAAAATTCCAGCACACCAAAAGAGCTCTTAAGATTTTTAAATTAATCGTCATTGTCCATACACCCACCCCCCAATCACTTCCAAAGAAAAGCTCTTTGGAAACATTTAAAACACTTCAAGAATGCTAAAATGCCATGTTCTTTGAAGAATGATTAGAAATTTAAGTGCTTCAGACATTTTTTTCCCTTTTAATCTAAGTGTCTCCTTTTGAAAGCTTGTCAAGGTGCAGGAACAGAAAGCAAAAAAAAAAAAAAAAAAAAAGAAGAAGAAGAAGAAGAAAAAAAAATTAAAGGCGATCAAGATAGAATGTCAAAACAAGCTTACAATTTCCCAAGATGGTTTTATGAAGCAAAGCTGTCAATTTTGCTGTCATGGATCTTCAGAACAGCACAAGTTTTCAATTTTTTGCCTCATTATTCTCAGTGGAATTGCAAACTCTTTTTTTGACCTTTCAGAAACCAAGCCTGGAGTTGTGACATTTAAGTTACTCTTCTCCTCCTCTAATTGCATAGGTTTGAGCTTTAAATAGATAATGATGAGACTTTCTCCAGGTGGGGACATGCTTTCCTACATTTTGGAAGGAGCTTATTGCTGAAGTCTGAATGCAGAAGCTCATGCTCTGAAGGCCTGGGCTGTCTTTCCCTTAACGTATCCCTGACACCGAGCTTAGTGACAGTCACCTACCAGATGTTCAGCACATGGCTCCAGGGGTAGATGATGTCATTTTGTCACAACATCCTCCTTGTGGAGAGGACAGGAACGGTGCTTGTACCATAACCTCCGCTGCTTCTTGGTCGCAGCTATGAGGTTGGGAAATGAGCATGACATCTCTTTCTTTCCACCCTGGTCAAAGGACACTGCTTTACTATCGTCCTCTCTCGATCTCCAGAGCAGGGGTTCTCGACTGTAGGTGCGTCAGAATCACCTGAAGGATTTGTAAAAGCACAGATTGCTTGTTTTCAAACCATGCTTTGAGAACAAATGCTCTGGAGAAATAAGATATCCTTATGTTTTGTTTTAGTAATTTTACATGGCATGGTATTTTGTTTTTGGGATCCAAGCATATTCTTGTTGTTGTCAACTTCTTGTCTACATTCCAGAGTATTTTTGGAGCCAATGCAAGACACCTCCACCACTTCCTCTTCTTTGTGTTTATTTTCATTACAGTGCTAATGCATCCTGGATGTTCTCTTTCTCCTTGTAATTTCAGAAGTTTTAGGTCATTATATTGAATTTTCTGACCCCTGAATCTGGAAATATTTTCTTGAATTATTAATTCAGGGAAAAATACTTATGGTTCCGGGTCCTTATAAAAGAAGAATTGCATCAGACAAGATAAACAGACAAGGAAGGTTCTATTCATAACTATGGCAATAAGGGTCAAGACTATTGCAATAGGGGTGAAAGACTGAACTCAACCTTGCACTAACAACTTACAGGGGAGTTTGAAGCGCTGTAGTGAATCACTGGAAAAGCACTGGAGAAAGGTGGACAGGTGGTTGGTGAATTCAACTAAGTCATCTTCGCTGATTGGTGCTTATCAAAGTCAGTCTTCTTTCTACCCTTCCACAGAAACTGGCAGACAAGGGCACTAGTTCTCTTGATTGTTACATTTCAAAGAGATGGTTCCTGAATCCTCAAGAAAGATATACCTGGGTTAAGAGGCTAGTGGAAGATTTACACCATAAAGGGGCAGAAATGCTCTAAGAAAAAGGAGGTAGAGGGAAGCTCCTCTGGAAGAAACCCATCTAAAGTTTGGTCAAGCTGAGAAAAACTTTAAGGCCATCATCCTGATAGCTACTCACAATTTAGTCTGGTGACTTATATTTTACAAAAGAGGATACTAAGGTCTAAAGAAGTAGTCAGTTTAGGGGTGCCTGGGTAATGCAGTCAGTTAAGCATCCAACTCTTGGTTTCATTCAGGTAGTGATCTCAGGGTCATGGGATCAAGCCCCACGTCAGGCTCTGGGCTCAGCACAGTCTGCTTGAGTTTCTCTCTCCCTCTGCTTCTCCCCTCCACAATCTCTCTCTCTCTCTCTCTCTCTCTCTCTCTCAAATAAATAAATCAATCTAAAAAAAAAAAAAAAGAAGTAATCACTTCCTGAAGAAAACACAGCTAGTCAGTGGCAGAACAAGAACTAAAACTCAGAATGCTTCCTCCCTGGGGAGTAGGGAGCTCCAAGGAAATCTGCCCACACCCCTCCTCTCTGCCCAGTCAGTTTTCCATTTTGTTTTGCCTTACAATCTTTTACACAACCTTTCCCCCCCATTTTCCCCTTTTCCTTTTTCCTGTCTCTCTCTTGGGTGTTCACCAGAGTCCCCCATCAGTCACCCTGAAGTCTTGTCCCTACACCTTCCCCTCAGGGTCCAGATTCCACTCCTAAGCATCTGATTTGGGGCAGCATTGACTTCCTATGCTATATCTCCTAGAACTTGGCACAGTCCTGGTCAGGGCCCCAGCCCTACCTACATGTCACTCTGGAGTAAGGCGTGGCCCATGTGCTCCTGTTGCCTGGGTTTGAATGCAGACTCTGCCACACATGAAGTATGCTTGGGAAATTTACTTAACATCTCTGAGGATCAGTTCTCATTTTCAAAATGAGGTTGCTGTGAAAATGAAACTAGGTAATTCACATAGTGATTAGCACAGTGCTTGTCACATAGACATACTGTTTAAATATTTGCCATTGTTAATATTCAAGTCCCTGAGAAAAGGAGACCGGACACACTTTAACTCTCAGCACCCAAAGCAGTAAAGTTCTCAAATATCAATTTCACTTTTTTTAATTTTTTGAACCCTTCTAATCCTGTGCCTTTTATCCCCATCGCTAGCGTCCATTTTTGATCAAGAACTTCAGTAACACTGGCTGTGTGCACAGCATAGACTGATGTTTACAGGCTGTTCAAAGCTGGTTGTAAGCCAGCCAAAGAGGCCAGTTACTAACCTTGGCTTCATGGTGGTTGCTGAGCTATCCCCCCAAAGAGGGTTCACTGTCTCCATCTTTGCAAGTGTTGAGAGTTTAAGCTAAATCCGTCTCCTTTCTATCCTTTTAACCTGTGGAAACAGATTCTTTACATTGTCTTTGCACCGCATTCTCATTGTTCTTGCTGAAGGTGCTGCTTTTCTCCTGTTGATAGAAGGACATGATATTGCACATCAGTGATTAATAGCCAACTTCTGAAAGCCAAAAAGAAAAAAACACTCTGGATTTTCTTGTGGCGCATCAGCTGTGTGCATCCATACCCTCTCCTAACCCCCCCTCCCCTTGCCAGCACCAGCTGACACCTCACATTACTCAGGACATGCCGCCTTAGTCCCAACCCTTTCCTGCTGTCTGACCCCTCAGCCTGGAGGTGGGCTGAACCTATTTTGTATGAACTTCAGCGTTTGGAGGCAGAAGGATTTGTTATTGTTTATTGCTCTTGCTGTTGTTCTTTCTGCACTAGTGTCAAACTTGGACTGTAGCATCAAATCACATGGGGCAAGTTCACAAACACACCCTGCAGTTTGCCCTGGGGTTGCAACCTTGGGGACATCATGCCAGGATGCACTCTCAAAACGACTCTTAGCATTTTCAGATCTCCTTTTAGATTCTTTATTTTTCCCCCATACATTACTCAGAATCCATCAGCATTCTAAACTTGTTAGATGGTGCATCCTGAATTAACTTATAACTTTATCATTATTAATAATCAAGACGTGGGAGAAGAAGAGAAGGTTCCCAACTGAGAACACTGGTGGCAGTCCATGGCATACGTATATGCTTGCTTTCAGGAAGCAGTGTTGGGTCACAGTTAAACCTAGATCAGTCTGCCTGGCTCACATCCCGCTCTGTCACTAGCTGTATGAGTCGGCTTTAGTTATCGAACTTCTCTATCCTTCAACTTCCCTATCTGTACAGCCAGTAATAGTACTTATTAGTACAGTGTGTCCAGGTGCTCACACATACTAAGCGCTCAATAAATATCACTGTCTTCCTTCTCGAAAACTATGTCCTCCTCTAAATTCTCTCCGATGGCCCCTCTTCTCTGCAATTACATGCCGTATTCCTACCACTCATTTTTAAAGGTCTCCAATTTAATTCAAGGGCACATTTTAGAATCTTGAAAACAATGTTAACTCTTCCTTATATATGGTTTCCCTTTAATGACACAGAGGAATGCATTTTTAATGACATAAATCGATAGTTGTGAGCTAATAAATAATTTTAAAAATTTCTTGTACTATATGATATCATCCAAATCATCTGTTAGTTAGAATTCACTGATAAGGAAATGGGGCTTGGTGCATTTTCTCTTCAATGCTCTGGTTAATATTCAGTGCCCAGAACAGCCGTGGTCAAGGGTGCCAGAGCTCCTTGACTCTGGTCATGGTGAAGGGCAGGTAATGCCTAATGGATGTGGGAGATACCAGGTGTTTCCTTGTCCACAGTGGAGGGAGAGGGAGATGGTTGGGCTAGAGTCCACCTTGTAATCCAGTTACCTACATGTTTGCAAAATACACAGTCCACAATCCTCCCCATTATTTTACTCTTCTGTGTCGTCTAAAGGATGATCCAGCATTCTATGAAGGCCAAGCCCTTCTTTGTCTGCCTCTTGGACATATTAGTAAGATTTCTGTGACTATGTGAAATACGCGCCTTAAGCACTCGCAGTAGGAGAGACCCAGTTCTTCTACTCACCTCTGAGGGGAAAAGATTATTTCTGGCCATGCCTCTTCAAAATGCAGCTTTATGGATGTTGGAGAACCAGTACGTTAGAGCCATGCCATGATCAGCACATTCTAGGACTCCTTCTTAAACTGCAGTCTCTTTAATATCCACCTGGCATTTTATTCTCCTACCTCCAGTAAGACAGCCCTCTGGCTTTAATTACTCAGGGTGATGGGCATCTCCAGACATGGAGTCCGAAGCTTTAGGGTACCATTTACCAAGGTACCACCCTACGGGCATGTGAGAGGCTGAAAGAGAGTGCTCATTCTTAACCTCTCTTGTCCCAGGAAATGGACACATCTGAAAAATATGTAGCAGATATCTCAATAAAATGTGAGCCCCAAATGTTGCTCTGGTCCTGCAGCACTCACCTCGCATGGTTTAAGGATGGATTATGTAAACTAGGCATTTAGATCCAGAGCTCTCTGTGTTGGATGATTTTCTGATCCTTTTCTTCTGTGGCAGGTTCTGAGTCTAACAGCAGCACAGGCTCCTCGGGGTCTCTGCCCCGCACCCACGCACCCCTGCAGGGCACGCCCCTGGCTGCGGGCGTGGCCGCTGGCTCTCCGGGCTGTGTGCCCTATCCAGAGGGTGGAGCAGGGGGCCAGGCAGCCCCCAGCACCAGCTACATCCTCCTTCCACTGGAGGCTGCGACAGGCATCCCGCCCGGAAGCATCCTTCTCAATCCGCACACAGGTTAGTTCCTTACCTCTGCTATGGCAGGGACTCAAGATCAGAGTTCTGTTCTTGTGTTTGAGCTTATAAATTCGTCAGCAAGTTTTCTTAAAATTCCTGAGCAGGAGAGCTAGGTGCATGAACCATTGTGTAGGGTCTTGATTTGGGAAGAGAAGATCTATAGCTGTAATCTCTATCTCTATGTTGATAGCAATATTGATATGTAGTGATAAATATAGGTTCTTCCCAGAAATATACACTTTTTCCTCTGTCCTCTTTGTGTTGACCATGGTGTGTCTCAGGTATTCCTGGGAGCTAAGACCAGAGACCATAAAGTGATGATCTGGGAAATAACTAATTAAGATACTGTGTTTCGCAGACTAAATCCCGGCTTAGCCTCTTATTATGTCAAAAGTGTTTTTGCATCCAAGATATTTCACAAACTTGAAATATCAATTGGGACACATAGCAGATTCTTACCTAGAGGGGCGCCTGGGTGGCTCAGTCGTTAAGCGTCTGCCTTCGACTCAGGTCATGATCCCAGGGTCCTGGGATCAAACCCCGCATCAGGCTCCCTGCTCCGCGGGAAGCCTGCTTCTCCCTCTCCCACTCCCCCTGTTTGTGTTCCCTCTCTCGCTGTGTCTCTTGCTATAAAATAAATAAATAAAATCTTTTAAAAAAAAGATTCTTACCTATAGAAGTTGCTCTTTTGCCTTAGAATTTCACCCAGTTCCACTTGGGGAATAAGGAATAGCAGTGACAAATAGGACATAGGGAACAAATTCTTATGTATTTTAGGGATCCTAGGACTAGACTGGTTTTGGTGAGGTTTGGAAAATTGGTAACTTCAATGATGATTATTTTTTCCATGATCAATGGTTCTTTATTTTTTAATTTCTCTAGTGGTCAGTTAACTTCCACACTGATTCCAAAGAACCCAGGGCATTGGGCAAATAGACTGACAAGCATCTGCCTCATAGGGGAAACTTCTCAACCAGGGGGAATTGTGCCCATGCCTCCAAGGCCATTTTGCAATATCCACCGACATTTTGATTATCATGACTGAGAGAGGAAGGGGCTGCTACTGGCATCTAAGAAGGTAGAGGCCAGACATGCTGCTAAACATCCTACAATGCACAGGACAGCCCCTTCCAACAGAGAATTACCCAGCCCAAAATATCAGTAGTGCCATGGCTGGGAAACCCTGGGTTAGAAGGCTTGACATTGACTAGTTGCCTCTTTGGAAGCCTTTATAAGTAATTGGAAAAAAAATTGAATTATCTCAAAAAATGTCTGTGGTTTGGTTTCAACAATTCCAGAGTATTTCTGTGATTAGCTAAACTTGAAAAAGCAAAAGTGGATGAGAATCTCATAAAAGCAATCTGACTCAATCTTTTCACGTATATAGCACTACTAGTAATTAGGAAATTCAGAGAAACATGAGAATGATAGTAAAATAGTTACTTGAATAATTGCCACATTTTCATGAAAACATATGGCACATTCTCAAGGCAGGGTGTTTGATGGAGACATTTTGAAAATGCCATAAGCTTGAGGGAAAAGAAGGCATAATCATTTTATTGAAAACCATTTGAAAGCTTTCAGAAGAGATACTTCTAAGGAGAATATTAGATTGCTTTTATTTTATTTGGATCATTGGAAGCACTAAAAGGAAATTAAAAGAAAACCAGGATTATAGTCATTACTCTGGGCACTGATCGAAGTATGGTCTGACTCCGTTGGCTTAAATCCCTTCACTTCTAATTGAGATGGAGGGCTTGCTGACAAGAGCACACACGGGCATTAGTTTTGAGTCATTTGTTTTAAGCAAAATTGCCGTGTTTCAAAAAAGCTCAACAGAGTATTTTTTAGGGTATAATGAAGAAATATTATTTGTAATGATATAATGGTTATGCATGTGTTATGTGTATATTATCATGTATAATCTTGCTTATAGAAAAAGAAAGAAAGTGATTTTTGGTGTCAAGTCCCAATTTCTTATGTATCAGATCCAGTCATTTAGAGCTGTTACCAAAATATCTCCTTTGAAAAAGGATCCTAACCAAGGAAAAGGATCTAATCACACATACAGTAGCTTCTCTGTATGCATCTCTCTGATCTGACAAATGCTTGACATTAAATATCCCAAGACCAGAAGGAAAATGTATTAATATATTAATATATTGTATACCATGGTTGAGTGGTAGGATCGAAGGGGAATGATGTTTCTTCTTTCCTAGAATGTGTTTATTTTTGTAAACTGAAAATATGTATGTGTGTGTGTGTACAGATCCATCATGTATTCAGATATATGTGTGTGTGTGTGTGTGTGTGTGTGTGTGTGTATGTGTCTATGGTGTGTATGTGTGCATGTCTCTCTGTCTGTCTATCCATCCATCTATTTATTTAATCTCCTATGATTCTACTATTGAAACTGGAAATTTGCCTCCTTTGGATTGGAACTCATCTTTCTCTGTCATTGTTGTGAACTCCTGAAATCCACACCTCTCCCCTTCCTTAAATATGTGGTAGAAATTCTTTGGGGTTAGGAACCAATAGCATATGACTAGTTTACTTCTTGTGTGAATAGCCCTTGGGATTCATTTCCTTGTTACCAGCTCATTTATAAGCTCCTTGTGGGAAGGGGCCATTCTTGGCTATTTTTTTACTTTACTAGAGTGGATAACAAAGTAGTCTTAGGCACTGTGCTCAAAAATTACATAGTATTGAAATAATATCTACTACTCATTATATGTTGATGTGCATAGTAAAACAGTTTTTTTATCTAATATATTTGAGATTGTGGTTCATGTATGAAACTATGATAAAATACCTGTCTTTTATTTTTTTTTTTATTTCAGTATAGTTGGCGCACAGTGTTATATTAGTTTCAGGTATGCAACATAGTGATTCAACTTCTCTGCCTGTTATGCTGGGCTCACCACAGTGTAGCTCCTATCTGTCATCATACAGTACGATTACAGTATCAATGATTAGATTCCCTCTGCTGTGTATTTTATTCCTATGACTTACTCATTCCATAGCTGCAAGCCTGGACCTCCCATTCTGCTTCCCCCATTTTGCCCATCCCTTCATCCCCCCTCCTCTGGCAATCACCAGTTTGTTTTCTGTATTTATAGGTCTGATTCTGCTTTTTGTCTGTTTATTCATAAAGTATCTATCTTAAGCAGACAGAAGACAAGCAATAATTTGAGAATACCAAGGTGCCTGCCAGTCATGTCTACCAAATGAAACAAAAATGAAACTTCCTTTGTGGGCACAATTGACTTGCCTCTTCCTAAGTACCAAATATTTGGCAACCTGAAACCAACCCACCCACATATCTTCTCGCAGTTCCCCAAATGCGATCACATTTTATTTTGTCTGGCCTTAGACTCTGCTCTCAGCCAGTCTGTTTCTAACTCAAGACCTCTGGCCTATCCTTTCTTTGCTTTTCAGGCATCTAGATGAGTGAGCTGCTGCAGAGGCTCTTTTTCAAAGTTATCCCCGTATAATGTATTCATCCTCACAAGGCAAGCCTGGGTTTGACTCTTGAGTTTGATCTTCTTCCTGCTGTCCTGGACTTGGCCTCCTTTTAGAAATTTTTAGCAGAAAGCTCGTCTTTGTTTGGCTATTTTCTTTCAATTTAGAGCTATCCAGAGATGCCAACAGGCATTAACATCCCCCAAGTACTCATTAATCCCCATATCTCTTGTTTTGCCATTTCGCTTTGCCTTCATCTGGCACAAATTCACAAGTGAGTGATGTAAGGGCATGCCATCGGCTGGGACTTTGCTTTGAGCAGCCTTTTAGGGCTCATCTCTTTGAAATACTCCTGATGGATCCTCCTAACACTACACTTTGTATTTTTCACAGGACTTCTGGCATCTATTCTACTTCTTTCTTATTTTTTTCCACCTCTTTCTTAAATGTACCATGAAGATTTTGTGTGTGACATGGCCCTCAACGTATCTTTGCGAGATTTGAATTGACCTTTGTCTATCCATAATCAGCAGCATCCTTATGATTTGATTGATCACCTTCTAAGGACTAGGAAAGGAAAAATCTCTTTTTCTCATGCCCTCTCTATCTTTTTTAATAAATACCCTTCTGCCAAATACATGGCAGAAATGCTTTGGTATTAGAAACCAAGAGCATTTGATTACTTTGTTTCTAGTATGAATTGCCCTTGGGTTCATTTCCTCATTACCAGGGTATTTATAAGCTCTTTGTGGGGAGGGATCAGACTCAGGTTTTTTGTTTTTGTTTTTGTTTTGCATCTCCGGAATGGATAACCAAGCCTTAGTCTTCATGCAAGGCTCAATAATTATATAATAGTAAAATTATATCTACTGCACAGAATGCCTGGGTGGCGCAGGTGCTTAGTATCCAACTCTTGGTTTCCACTCAGGTTGTGATCTCAGGGTCCTAAGATCAAGCCCCACGTCGGGCTCTGCCCTCAGAAGGGAGGCTGCTTAAGACTCCCTCTCCCTCTGCTCCTCCCTGCCACTCGCTCTCTCTAAAATAAATAAATAAAATCTTTAAAAAAATAATATCTACTGCACATTATTCATGTTGATGTGGAGAGTGGAGAGGTTTTCCACCTAAGGCCATGTATTGAGGGGAATGAGCACTCGGCCAGCTCGTGGCAGCCCGACTTTCCTGCACCCTTTACCTGTGCCAGCACACATGCCAGGGCCTGCCAGGCATGCTCGCGCAGTTCTGGACATGAAAACCTCTTTTAAGCTGGATGGTCCTAGGCCAACTGTCTCTCCTTCCCCTTTGGTCTTCAGCAGCTGTCATTCAAACTAATTGCCCGTATCCAGTTGTAATTGCATCTGGACTGGCAGAAATGGCAGCATCTAGAGAGGCCAGCATTGCCTGACTTGAAAACCAATAGTCGCCTGTCCTAAGTCTCTTAGGAAATCATGTAATCATGTCTGTTCCCTTCCCTGGCATATCCATTTTACTTGTTTCAGTCTCTTAGGTCTTTCCACCCCTCCTTAGTGAGTATAAAAGCAGTCTTCTATTCTCTCTCTTCTCTTCCAGAAGAACCTGCCACCTCTCTCTACCTAAGGGAGTTCTGAGTACTTTTCATATGCAATTATATGGAAACCTTTCTTTTGCCTGCTTCATAGCACATTAATAATATTTCACACAGAGGATCTAAAATTTATCAAAAAGGACATTTGAATAATTTGTGGTTATGTTTTTCACCCCAATTATGGTCCGTTTTTTACGTTACCTTACTTCTCACTGGGATAAATTGGAAGTCATAGGAAATATAGTAAAGATCATTTTATTTTTACTTTCCGTCTTTGGGGAGAAAAAAATGGGTTGCAGATTTTAAATCCAGAAGAAAGTTATTTTTTTAAAAAAAGCATTTAAAACAATTAAATGTATCTAAAATTAAATGACAGTGATAGGAAAACAAGTGCCTGTGAAGAACATTAACATTTTTTTTAAATACCTCTAAATTTAGTCATTGTTCTGTGACTATAATTCTGGCACATTTGCTTTTCCATCACAGCACATTGTGATTGGTTATGAAACTGTTGTCAGAACTTCCTTAGTTCATGAATATGCAGCATTTAAGGGTTTCACGTTGCACACACACAAGTATATTTGGGCTGAAAATGTGGGGTAATGATGGGTACACTAGGGTCCCATTACAGTTCCTAACGGGCCTGAAATCAAGTCCTGGGAGCAATTGGTTTGGCTTCACTACAACCCCACTGTTTGCATTCCAAACCTACTCTAAAATATTTTCTCACTGTAATTTGTCAAACACACATACCTGGCCTGTAGCCTTGGCAGGTATTTGAATGTATGAACCCCTGTGTGAACACTATCTGGAAGGAGACATAGGACATGACTAGTCTCCCAGGAGGCTCCCTCCTGCCCCCTGAGAGGTCCCACTTTTCTGACTTCCATTACCATTAAGTTCTGCCTGACCTTGAAGGTATTAGAAATGCAGTTGCACATTTCCCTAATGGCTGCCCTTTGGGGACTGGTTTCTTTCACTTGGTGTATATTGGCTAATTATTTCCCATTTTATAACAGTCTGTTCTTGTTGGATACCACACATTTTTTTTTTCTCCCCACTAGAATACTATTTCGTTTGGGTCAGGTTTTTTTTATCTTCATTCTAACCTGTTGTGTTTTGTTGCTAATTTTCCGCATATCACTGGTGGTCTTTGGTTGTTTTTCATATATGTTATTAATGAAAAGGGCTGTTTTCCTCAACCATCACATGCTCTCATGAACCCCATATACCGGAACTATGTGAGGGGAGGCTTTCAGCTATGTGCTTGGGAGGAACTTAGCAAGCTGCCTCCGATATCCCCTTAATGCAAATCAGCATATTCTGATTCTTCTCATTCTTTACCTGCCAGTCCTGGCTGTGATTCCACCTTAAAACATGTCCCCCACCCCTCCTGACTTCTCGCGTGTTAATGATTTCAGTTATGATTGGACTTTTGTCATCAGACCTTGTTGTAGCACGTACACCTTGTGTAAACTTGGATACTCCACTGAAGTTATTTGGTGTGATGGGAAGTGAATGGACTTTGGAGTCACTCTGACCAGGGCCATTTCCTGACTCTCGCGTACTGATTTGGCCTTTCTGAGTGAGTTGCTTGGTCCATGCGGGCACTAATTTTTTTGTCTCTAAAGTGGGATGAGATCGCATGTCGGTGGGGTCACTGGAAGAGCTGAGCTATGTGTGTAAGGTGCCTGCCACACTGGAACTTGATTGGTTCTCCCTTTCTTTCCCTCCTCTTTCCCTCGCTTCCATCTGCCGCTCCTTTGGCTCCTTCCTTTTTCCTGTGACTTCTGGTGGGCCTTCACTGCGTCCTGTGCAACATAGGGAGATGATACTGTCCTTCCTCCCAGAGTCATGCTGGGGATCCGATGATACTATTTTGTAAACCATAAAATATTCCTCAAATAATAGTAATAACAATAGCGAGCCATGCCATCATTTCAAAAGGCAAAACAATGTATATTTGCTTCACCATCAGGAGATGATGCTGTGATGCTTATATTATGCATCATCTTCAAAATCTGAACCCCTGCGTGCTCCTTGTTGTGTCTGTTTAGAGAAGCGAGCATGTGGATGTGGTATGTTCTGTTGCGTGTGTATCGGGAGCACTGATCGCCATTCTGAGTTGGCAACAAGCTGAGTGGAAGAAAAACAAATGTATTGGTAAATAATATGTAAGCCAGGGTAGCCGGAATTCTGTAAAGGGAAGGCAGCCCTATCTCTCAGTGTGTGCGATCTTGCTGATAATGGCGAGGTGCAGGCGGCAAACACACGGTTTCGTGAAGATTGCTTCTCCACAGGCCTTCTCCACTGGGCGCCACTGTGCACAGACGCGCTTAGCTTTAGCGAATCTCCCTGAAGGCAGTGTGTTTATTCGTTGCTTCTTAAATTGCTCTGGGCTTGCACCGTTAGCTAGCTTAAGCAGATAGGTCATAAACAGGAAAGTCTTCATGGTGGTGAAGGTTCTGCTGTCCTAGATTTCCACCTCCCTGCCCCTTTACCTTGGGTTACTTGTTGCATATCTATCAGTATGGTTCTTCCTGCTAAAGGCGAGACCGAGGAGCTCACCTGAACCCAGCTCCGATTCCATTGCAGGCCAGCCCTTTGTGAATCCTGACGGAACCCCTGCAATATACAACCCCCCCACCAGCCAGCAGCCCCTGCGAGGCTCGATGATGGCACAGTCCCAGCCGCCGCCGCAGCAACAGCCTTCTCCTCAGCCACCCCAGCCACATATGGCCGGTCCGCTGGTCACTCAGGTAGAAGCTGGTGGGAAGGTGGGGAGGGGAGGTGTTCCCAGGCAAAGGCTGCAGAGTTCTCAGAGCAGCGACTGGTGCCTTAGGAGGAGGTGATACTTTTCACTGGGGCCACTTCCACCCACTCATATGTAAGACCTGGCAGCCTAGAGCCCTTGATGGCAGGTTGATAAGATTTCATCTGGATGCTCAAGTTTAGATAGACGTGAATGCCCCATCCAATGATTTGCATGGTGAGCACACTGCGCTAGGGAAAACGAATGCCAAGTTGTCTCTGAGGCCTAGATGCTACTTCTAAGGCATCACGGAGCCTGACTGAGAGACTGAACCCATAACCTCAACCAAGCTTTCATATCATCCTGCTCACTCATTCCCAGCACAGACCAAGGACTCATGTCTGCAAAGGGATAGTACTGAATGCTTCATCAATTGGAAGAACAGATATCAGTCCATTCTGAGGTGGCCTGCCTGTTCTTCAAGAAATGTAGAGTGGTCCTCCCTTCCTAGAGCAACACTTGGAAATAGCCACAGAAATCTGTAGTGTTCCCAGGAGGTTGCCAGAGTGAACCTCATTTGTAATTTTTTCCCTTACTTCTCAGTCCCTGTGCAGTATCTTTAGACCCAGTGGATTTGACTAACAACAATGACATGAAAAGTATCACAGTGACTTCTGAAGGCAGTGTTCACTCTGAGCAAACATGCCTCCTGCAAGGCTGGCTGGCTGTGCTCTGCCTGGCATTGACTTCCCGTCGGTGGCTGGTTCCCCTCTCTGGAGGGCACTGAGCCAAGAGGACCTGTAGGGTGGTGTAGGTGGTGTGCTTCCAATAAGCCAACCTTCCTGTGGGATTTCTGCCCCCCAGTGCTTCCCCGTTACCTGATCAGCTTTTTCTTTCCTCCAGTCGGTGCAGGGGCTGCAGGCTTCCTCCCAGTCAGTGCAATACCCAGCGGTCTCTTTTCCTCCCCAGCATCTCCTGCCTGTGTCTCCAACTCAACAGTTCCCCATGGTACCGTATTCCATGTGTGCAACCTTTCCCCTGGGAGAGCATGTCCACCAGTTTTATTACTTTCCTGTGCAGGGCTGGCTGATGCTGGGTGGGTGCCCCGGACTGACTGTGAGGGGGCATGAGTTGGGGTCTTATTCCAGAACATTGCACCCCATCTCCAAAATAATGGTTGCCATTCTGTCATCTGTTCCACGCTTGCTGATTCTGCAATTGGGTACCCTTTTAAGAATTTACTGGCTAAGCAGGGATTGAATGCCCCGAGAGTTCGAAGTCAGAAACAGAGAGATGTGAACTCAGCGTGATGGCTTGGGAAACAGCTTAAAGTTAGTTGAGGTGGTCATCACTCTGTGCTACTAATGTGGGGGGTTCCCCTAGCTCCCTGATCCCCCACTCTCCCTTCCTTTCCCCATAATGAACTAGGTCCTTTTGGACATCGAGAAGGAGCATCGCCCCGAAATTTCAGGCCAGGCCAGTAAAAAATACTCTCCAATATATCATGACACCATGATGGCTCCATCTCTGTAGCAGCTGTGGGTGATGGTGAATACAACCACTTCTGCCTCTCTCCAGAAGGCAGAGACTGTGGTTACTTCTGGGAAGCCCTGCTGACCTTTCAGGACCAAGGACACCAAGCCCTCCTTGTCTCAGCACCATCCCGAGGATCTCAAACCCTTGGTGAAAAAATAATGATTTGTTTCCATTGGAAGAGGGAGATTCGGTCAAATTGTTTACCATCTCTGATCCTCCAGATGATTAAAATCTTATTATGTTCTCTTGTTGTTCTGGACAGAGAATTCCTTTCAGTTATTGTTTCCAATTGGTACGCCCTCCCTTGCCCACAGTGACAAGAGTGTGGCCTGTGCCTGCCTCTGTGTGCCTCTCCCGTTACTAGGCTGCTCTTGCTAATTTCCTCTTTGTTTCTGGGCAGAGAGACGATGTGGCGACACAGTTCACCCAGATGAACCTGAGCCGGCAATCCTCAGGAGAGACTCCTGAGCCCCCATCTGGTCCTGTCTACCCGCCGTCTCTCATGGCACAGCCAACCCAACAGCCAAGCTACGTCATTGCCTCTACAGGCCAGCAGCTCCCTACGGGGGGGTTCTCAGGCTCTGGACCTCCCATCTCCCAGCAAGTCCTCCAGGCCCCTCCCTCACCACAGGGATTTGTGCAACAGCCTCCACCTGCACAGGTGAGTGTGCTTTTCCTCACACCTGTGACCTATAGCTTGTTCGCTGGCTGTTTTGACATCTACATTTCCACGTAAAATATCACCAGGTCAACCTGGTGTGGCTCTTTCTGGTCCATATTGATATTCCCCACCTCCAGAACCTGATCTGTCCTATTCAGCAGTTGTGCAAAGCTGTGGGGCTCAGAAAGTAAGTTGAATGAAACTGACCCAACTTCCCATGATACAGTGCGGGGAGTGTCCCATTTTCCAGGCTGCTGGTACGGGAGCCACGCAGGAAAGCGTTCCCTCCCATGCAACGTCCTGCTCACTGGATTGCCTAGAAAGGGAAAGTAGGAAGGAAGAAGAGAGCCTGCTCCTGGGGGACTTTCAACTCTCCCCTGCTGCTGCTTGGGAAATGTGTTCTTTCCTTAAGCATTTTCTGGAGCTAATCTGGGCTCCAGGCAGGAGCTCCTCTAGGAATATAAAGGAGGAAGCTAAAGGGGACATCCACTGTCCTTTCCTCTCCCTAGGGGGAAGCAGAGCTCCTGCGTGCTCTCATGGGTAGTCATTAATCATATTTAATTGACTTGAGCATGTAAGACACCACAGATCACTGATTTTTACTGTCTTCGCAAAGACTGATTATCTGTTACTGTTCACCACCAAACATCTCTGGTGCTCTCCTGGGTATCCCTTGCAGAATATTGCAAGTGATTACTGTCAAGATGTAAAATGCACGGAGGCATTTTCTGGTCCATTTTCAAGGCACACATATCCCGAGCAAATTCCATCCTAATTAAGAAATATTGCATTGGATGAGCTGTTTAAAGTACGGTGTCACCTTTGTATTATTTGTTTCACTGCCTTAACATCTTGAATAAATTATTTTCTTTTTGAGCCATGCAAAACCCTTCACCATGAAATGATTTTCATTCAGTTGTTCATTTTATTTTGAATGATTAATTAATTGTTCATCTTCGGTTGTCTTCTCTGCAATATCTCTTGACCAGTAGGATTTAAGGAGATGTGAAAAAATAATTTTAAGTTACAGGAGAAATGACTTCATTGATGTATTAATTATTTTAGTAATAAATTAAATACTTAAAGTTTAATTAATGAGGAAAATAGTGTAGCTCTTTTACCCTAAACAGCATCTAAGTGTTTCTTACCCATTTCTGCTATCAAGAAGAAGAGTTGGCAGGATATTTAATTGAAGAATTTTTTTGAAAGACTTTAAGAAAAAAGTCTTCCTTGATGAATGAATTTCAGCATTAGTGCACTGCAGGAGCAAAGACAACTCAGAACCCCTGGTGTGTCTGCAACAGACACTTCTTCAAAAGATTTAGAGATAGAAAGGGAGGAGAGTAGAAAAACAAAACAGATGTTCAAGGTTCCTGGTCAGTCTGGGCATGCATGAACTTCTTATGTATAAGATATAACCCATTGTGAGTTTCAATTTAGTAAACATTTTAAAGCTTGATTATTCAACTATGGAACAATGAAAAGAACTTGAGGTACAGTCCATGGGCATATGGAAATAAATGAAATGTATGCAGAAAGTGAACCTAATATTTAATAACCTTGAAGTCAGTTTTGTCTGCCATGTTATGTAAGCCTTTTGAACACCCCCTAGAAGGTGAGGCAAGAAACACATGCACAAGGCAAAGAGGGACTTGAAGAAGGTGGTGGGAGAAGAGATTTTTTTTAATATGGCTTCTTCTTTTTTCTCCTTTATTGCTTTCCTCTCCTAATCTACTCATATTTTGGTTTTCCATGCCTTAAAATATACATAGTTGTTGAAAAATAAACATTTTCTCCTCTCGGGAGCTATCCTTACTCTTTTCTCCCTTCCAACCTTGCATTTGGATCCTTTGATGACTCCTCTTAGCCCCACTCAGCACCTTCCTCCATGGGGGAGGATGAGGAAGAGCCAAGTGCCCATGCCCCGTTTCCTTCATATGACTGGGAGATGTAAGTGCTAAGAGCTGGCTGATGCTCTGCCTGAGAGAGGTACTGAATGGAGGTGACCAAACCTCTAGCACAGCCTGGCAGGGTATCAAAGGAGGTAGGGTGGGAGAAAAATACAAGAACAAATCAGGACAACTGAGTACTAAAAATTGAGGCTCTCCTTCAAGAGGTTATACTTTCATCCAAACCATTAGTGCTCATGAGGGAATTTTTAAGTGTTTGAACTCTGTCCCTCATCCCTAAAGGTATTTTCATGTTTCATATTGAATGTGAGAGAAAAGACCAAGGATTGTGTAACATATTTAGTAGCTTCCATTGAATCAAGTCACAGATTTTCCTAAGGGAACAGACTGTTTATTCTTCCTAAAGGACATAGAAATATAAGGCTCATGAATAAATTCCATAATAGTTGTTCTTGTTCTTAATTTTAGGAAGCATCTGATGTATAATGGTAGTAATCTTTAATAGCGTCATGATTTGCCAGAGCATAACTAAAACCTGTTATTACTCTAGGATTCTTTGGGTTTCTATTGTTATAAATTGCCTTACAAAAAAAAAAAGGGAGAAAAAAAATCACTATAAACAAAATGTACAATCAGTTATTTGCCAAATACTGACCCGCGTTCACTCAAGACTCGTTCAGTCTCTTACCCTTGGAAATCCATATTGCCAGACAGAATTAGAATTCATAACAATTCCAGGGGGTTGCAGAACCACAGCTCAACACACTCTAAGTTATCTTTTGTCCCTATGTTATGCTAAGTCAAGAAAACATGATACATGTGTTTCAATAGCAAGATTGAAATAAAAAAGTGTTTCCTATTTGACATGATCAAATCAGAAAATAAAATCACCATTGAAATCACCATTCTCAAATATAAGTGGCTTGTAATTTTATTCTGTGTATGTGATACTTACTTGTAGGCTGGTCCTAGTGTACCTCAGTTTACACTTTCAAGAAGATGATAGAAGAATGGTGAGGAGATGAAAAATTATTCAAGATCAGTAAGCGAGCAGCCTTAATATAAATGAACTGAGGCAGGCAATGTCCAAATCAAGAGACATTTGATTGGAATCTTATTGGAAGTAATTAGAATATTTTCTGCCATTCCCAGTCATTAGAAAGTGACAATAGGTGACATAAACATTATTTTAAATATATTTTCTTTTTTCAGATTGAACATAAATTCTTTTGGATACTGGCTCTGTGCCAATCACTCTGCCAAGTGCTTTGATAGACTTGACCATATTTCGTAATTCCAACCCCTGCTTCTTATAGGCTAGAGATTAGTAGTTTTCACGTCTCACTTGTGTTTCCATTAGGAAAACAATTTGTTAGATATAATAATTATAATTATATATAATTATATAATAATTATAATTATATATTAATTATATATAATTAAATATATATATAATTATATATAAAATTATAATATAATATATAATATAATATAATAATTAAATTAAATAATTAAAACTACCATAAACTTTTTGTTGTGGTAGATGACTGTTTCATTCCCCCCCAATTTTTTAAAGATTATATTTATTTATTTATTTGAGAGAGATTGAGAGTAAGCGATGGGGAGAGAGCCCAAGCCTGGGGAGTGGGGCAGAGGGAGAAGCAGACTCCCCACTGAGCAGGGAGTCTGATGGTGGACTTGATCCCAGGTCCCTGGGATCATGACCTGAGCTAAAGTCAAACGCTTAACCACCTGAGCCACCCAGGTGCCCCTGTTTCATTCACTCTTGTTTCATTTGAAAACACAAAAATTCAGCAACTACAGCAGAACTCAATAGGGATGGTTCAACTCTGGTTTATATGGTAATGGCTCAGGCAGCTTGACTGGGGCTGGAACATCTAAGATGGCCTCGCTCCCATGCCTAGAACGTCGGCATAGCCTGTCCAGTGGGGTGCCGGTCTTCTCCACATGGGCTCTTTCTCCAGCAGGATGGCCTGGACTTCTTTTCCCGGTGGCTGGGTGCTCCTCCTGTGTGAGCAGAAGTGCAAGTCTTCTTACGGACCTGGCTTGCAAGTCTCGGAGTCGCCATTTCTGCCTCATGACATTGGTCAAAGCAAGTCACAGAGCCAGACCAGATTCAAGGACTTGGGGAATCGATTTCACATCTGCATGAGAAGAGTAGCATGCACACACATAGGCCAGGGTGAAGTGTTTGGTGGCCATCTTTACAATCTACTACAATCGTAGTATGTCATAAGATGACCACATATTTTATGATAAAAAGTGTTACTTCGTACACATTTCTCATTCCCTGTGGTTGTTCTCTTTCTTCCACAGATGTCCGTGTATTACTATCCATCTGGTCAGTACCCTACCTCAACCACGCAGCAGTACCGACCCCTGGCCTCCGTTCAGTACAGTGCTCAGAGGGGTCAGCCAATGCCGCAGGCAGCACAACAAGCAGGTACTTGCAGTCTGTTTTCCATGCCCTCCTCTAAACCGGTGATTTTTGCATGTAAATACCTCAGCTGTCCTCTTTGGATGAGTATCCAAGCTTGGCAGTTTAAATCGCCTCATTTCCTTTACCCGGACAAGATAACGGAGCATTGGATTAACTCTGTGTGGAAAAGTAACAGGTACAAGAAGGTGAAGCCCATGTCACTCGAGCACCCCAGACATGCATGCTAAATACAGTCTTCATGAATTATTTTTGGGTCTTCTTAATTTCTTTTAAAGCAGAGTGCCAACCCCATCCTTATCTTCCTAGTTCATACCTTTTTCTTTTCTTTCTTTTTTTTTTTTCATTTTCAACCTGAAGAAATCCTTCCCCTGTTCCTAAGGCTAGGGGACCAAATCAGGTTGTTTCCATGCCATCCTAAAAAGTACTGTTTTTAGAAGAAGGCCCCCGACACTGCAGCCCGTATCCCCGGTGGAACTCTGACTCCATGGCTCACTTTCTCGAGGGCCACACGCCTCCGGCCCAGAGCTTGGCAGCCACTGTGCAGTGGGAAGGGGGGCCGATACACTGTACGAGAGTGAGTAGTAGGTCTCACAGTGAACCGGTCTCTTTCCCTACTGTGTCACACTCCTAATGGCATGCCGGTGCCCAGAGAGCAGCAGGAACCCAGCAGGGCTGAGTGACTTGTGCTAGGGAGAGGCTTGTGTCCTTCCTGCTGACCACTCTGCAGGGGAAACTGCTCATTGCCATGCTGAAGACCGCCTGACTGGGGGACCCTGCCTTCCGTAAGTAGGTTGTGCTAGAGCACGTGCTCCCACTGTCTCCTGAATGGCTGTTCTGCCATCAGATCTCTGTGCTGATTATATGTATATGCATCTGTGATATGAACATATACGTGTGGTGTATATGGGAGATGTACAATTTTTATAAGCAGACAAAAAGCACAGTCCTTGCCAAGAGTTCACACCAAGAACAGATACCCTGAGAATAGGAATGCGGACACGACTAGCATCTCGTCAGATTGGAGAAATGACTCAGTTCCTCTGTACTGCAGATAGGTATAGAGTCTTTGGTTCGGCTCATGGCCTATTTAAAGCCTGTGGGAGAAGAATTAGAGAAATGTTTTGCTGCCAGCCAGACTGTCTTTTGTTTCAACACTGTAATAGTGGAGGAAAAATACACATTGACTTCTGAATTGATTTTACATTTTCATAGTAATAAGAACACAAAAGGGTTTATTTTTTTTTATTTTTTTTAAAGATTTTATTTATTTGAGAGATAGAAGTGGGAGAGGGAGAGGGAGAGGATCTTGAGATCATGACCTGAGTCGAAGGCAGACGCTCAACCGACTGAGCCACCCAGGTGCCCTGAACACAAAAGCGTTTAAAATGATCAATTATTTTAAGAAAATAGTTGGGTAATATTTTCTCTGATTGTTGGAGAATGTTATTATCTCTATCACGTGGTGGTAACTGTGCTATCAATTTAGATATATACTATAGTGATGTGCTGCTTGCATTCCTCCTGCTAATGTTTGTCAGAGAGTTAATTTATGATCTTCTAGCTACTGGTCCAGAGGCCACTGTGAAGTTTTCCTTTTGGTTACCAATGCTTGTAGAAGAAAGGTGCAGATATCTAATGATAATGATTGACCAAATTTTAGTTTACTGCCATTATTTGACAGTTTCCTGAAGAGATATTTCAGCCTTGTGTTCGAGTATAGTTCCTACGCAGGCGTGCAGTTACAAACATTCTGGGACCTACTAAAACCTGAAAACTCTGGGTCTGTGTGAGGGACTGAGACAGTTGGATGAATATGTTCGCTGGGCAACAGTAGATTTAGGACAAGCCTTGGGCTCCCCTTGACCCTTCTCCACTGTCTTCATTGATGAGTGTCAATATTAGCAAGAACACTGTGATATTTTGTTATATTTTTTAAAACACTGTGGGAGAATTTAGGGATGCAGAACCTCCCCCAGTCTCATGGAGACCTAACTGGCTCCAACTACATTCCATGGCAGCCTGGAGACACTGACTTGTCCCATGATCCCGCATCACCATGGAAATGCCAGCCCCAAGGCGAGGTAACAGCATCGCAATTAGGAGGGGTGCATTTTAAAGTAGCACCATATCCAAAACAGAAGTGCTTCAGGTGTCAAGGAGGTGAGTGGAGCTAAGATGGTCTGTGGGGAGTGGGGATATGAGAAAAAGGAATTGATGTGTGAATGATACCCTCCCAGAAGGGACAGCGTCAATATGCACATGAGACCTTTGAGCTCCTACCTTTTGAGACCACCACACCTGGTATGAGCCGAAAATCTCAGTGCAGTTTCCAGCGTGGTGTTGAACTTACTGAAGGTTTGGGAAGACAGTGTCCCCTGACCTCACTAAGAATCACCTCTGCTAACAAAATCCCCAGCCATCCAGCTCATGCCATGGTTCTGTGACAGTACGTGACTACAGCTAGGAGGCCTTTTGCTGAGCTTAGACACTAACAGAGATTTCCCAAAGGGGCAAGGTGGTTATTTGGGGGAGCCACAGTTCCTGGAGGAGCTTGAAGATAGGCCCTCTCTCTCTGTAAAGTGACCTCAGGACAAGGGGTGGTCTGGCACCACCCCACAGTGATGCCCTGAGTCTCAGGGACCTGACCTTCTCCCACCTTCATCTGGTACTGCCTGGCCTGTGTAGAAGTATCTGGTACTGCCTGGCCTGCGTAGAAGTATCTGGTACTGCCTGGCCTGCGTCAGAGTAAACTCCGTATCACAGGGTTAGACATTAGTGTGGAGCAAATTTATCTCAGTTACAACCAAATGAGAGTTTAATCCCAATTTGCTTCTTGACACTGTTCTTAATCTTTATTTAACGGTCGTGAAAAGTATTTCTTCTTTGTCCTACATTCTTGACCAAATTGAAATCTCTGTAAGTCACGACATCTTTCCTAGGCCTTAAAACTACACATAGTGGATTTTTATAAAGGAAATAGGATATTCTACAATTGACTAAATAGGCCTTACCCTGAGGCCCAATAGGGGGACATAAATTCTTCCTCCTGGTGATTTTTTGTACTCTTTACTCTACCAAAGGTGCTAAGCCTCCGAAAGAACTGGTGGGGATTACAAACAAGGGTCATTAATGAATGGTAGATTTGAACAGTGATATTTGGATTTTGTAGCTACATATATGAGGGATATAAAAACCATTAATACAGAAGTGTCTCTAATGGAAAAAAAATATGTTGTCAATTTAACATTATCAGGTAACCCCTATGACCTGAAGCTGCATAGAAAGGCAGTTATCAGGTTCAAGCTAAAAAGACTGGTTTTCAAATCCTTCCAGCTTTGAAAGACTTGGAAGTGAAAATGTCCCACCTGAGAACAGGATTTTTCCATGGATCAAATACTGAAATGGAGTACTGATGAGCAAGCCTTTCATTTCTTTATATTTTAGGCTTACTTAGTAGTCAGTTACCGTATTGCATTTAGTTAATACCTATGTTGCTATGATTTTATTCTGGCTTAAAAACTTTTTGTTTTGTTTTATTTATTTGAGAGAGAGAGCATGAGCAGGATAGAGAGAGAGGGAGAAGCAGACTCCCCGCTGAGCAAGGAGCCCGATGTGCGGCTGGATCCCAGGACCCTGGGATCATGACCTGAGCCAAAGGCAAACGCTTAACTGACTGAGCCACCCAGGCGTCCCTAAAAATGTTTTTAAGGCCACAAACATGTTAGTAGTAACTATAGGCACCATCAGTTAGGTCTCTAAGGGGCTAGTTGCTATGTGAATTATTTACAAACATCACATTTTTTCATCCCCACCACAAATTTACAAGGGAAATAGCTGTGAGCACCCCTGTTCAGAAATAAGTTACCCAGGGTCTCAAGGTTGATCAGATTGGGAGGAGCACCCAGGCTTGCCTGGTTTTAAACCTGTGCATTAATCACTTTATCACAATCACATAATCCTAGTTACTAGTGTTGCCTTTATTTACTGTCATGGATGATCATAGAGAAACGAGCCCCTTGGAACTAAACCTGCAGGCCCGTGTTACGGAGGCAGATAGCACCTAATTAATTATCCAAGCACAACCAGGTTGACTAATAGCAGAACAAATGGGGGAGTCTGGACTTTGGCTCCTGACCAACCACAGGCTTTCATATTCCTTTGCAGTGCTGGTCACTAACGGCAAATGACAGAGCACAGCTGAGACATTTATGTGCGGGTCACATATTGAAAAGAGAGAGAGAGAAAAAAAAAAGAATTCATCTTGGATCTTGTCTCCAACTCTAAATTCCTTTCTCAGTTTGACTAAAAAAGAAATATATGTAGCTTCATTCCCCACTGTCCACAATCTTGCACATGTTCTAAAAGCCACAAAAATGGGCTTGTAAAGTCCTATACGCTTTTGTAAGTGGGCATGTGGGGATGAATAAATCCTGGTTTTGGTATCAGAATAATAATGGCCTCATAAAATGAATTGGGAAGTGTTCCTTTTTCTTCTGTTTTTTGGAAGGAATTGTGTAAAAATGGTGCCGAATTAAATGTTTGATAGAATCCTCCAGTGACCCTCTCTGGGCCTGGGGATTTCCAGAAGCATTATTTTTTTTACTTTTTACATGAATATAATTCCTAGAGCTTTTAATTATGAAATTGTTATGGTTACAAGAGTATTCAGATGATCTGTCTCATCTTTGCTGAGTTTTGGTCCTTTGTGGTCATTGAGGAATTGGCTCATTTCTTCTAAGTTGCTGGATTTATGAGTGAAAAGTTATTAGTGGTATTTCTTTATTATCCTTTGAATGGCTGCAGGATATGTTGGGATATCCTGTTTGTTTGTTTGTTTGTTTGTTTGTTTTCTTACTATTGGTGATTTTTACATTCTCCCTTCTCAGTTTTGTAAGTCTTGCTAGATTTATCAATTTTATTGAACTTTTCAAGGAACTACCACCTTGTTACATTGATTTCTCTATTTTATTGTTTCGGTTTCATTGATTTCTGTTCTTATCTTT